CCCCAAAACCCCAAAACCCCAAAACCCCAAATTCTCATTCTATTTGAAAATATTTTAATTATTCGATCAGCACATTGAGGGTTCTCACTAGCCTTGACTTAAAATTTAATAGCTATGAAAGTTAAAGTTATTAAGAAAAGACGAATCAAAGGCAGGACTAAATATGAAAAAGTCACTGAAAAGAAACAGAACCTCCAACGAGTCAAGGAGTACAGGATGAAATCTATCACGATGTTCAAGCAATGGAGATTTCTAGAACCGACTCTAGAACGGACACGAGAGCTTAAAGTGAGTATCCAAAAGAATCTTGGAGATAATTTGCCATCAAAATTGGACAATAATTTCCCTTCAGATCTTAAAGAAACCTTTGTTGCACTCCCTGTATACAAAAATGTACTACTCAAGTTGATAGAGTACCTTACCCCTGTAGAGATAGTTTATAAGTATGCCAGAGTTTGTAGAGCTTTCTACCTACAGACGCATTGATATGAGTTTCTGTATAATTACCTCATGTCCACAATCGGCAAGAAGAAATATCTTGAGATGAAGTACTTCATAACTATAAATATTTACCCAGATATCGACACAATGTCCGGAGATGAATCACTAGCAGCTGATGGATCAGGTCCTGTAGAAAATCACTCCAAGAGAGAATACCTTAATAGCTATTTTGTTGAAGGTTATGCAGACAATACTAAACTTTCAGAGCGTATTGAGGAAGACAATAAAAGTACCTCAGAAGAAGAACGAGATCTCGACAATGAAATCTCTAGGATACAGAACAGATCAATTCATAAAGAGACAGACCCGATACTCACTAAGATCAGAGAGAGTACGGACTTTCTCCACAGATTTCTGATATTTTTAGCAGAACTCAAAGTTTGAGTGAACTGAGGAGTCATGGAGGAGAATATTGAGTCTAAAAGTTTGCTCATCATCTGCCCTATTTTAGGCAAACCTCTCTGTTTCAACTGTAAGAAGAGTGACAGCTACAAAATGGTAAATATTAAAGGAGCCCTTAGGAAATATGCCTTAAAGAAGGAAGAATTTGATAGAATGAAACTACGCTACATCAGTGCTCCCAATAGCTACTACTCCAATAAACCTATGAGACTTTACTACGAGTTCCAGGTCGAGGAGAAAATGAAGGAAATCAATGAGAAGCGAGACCTCATACAGCAAGAGAAATCCCGTAAGAAGGAGTATGAGAAGCTAGTCAAAAAGTTCAACATTCATTCTGAGAAACTTACTGAAAACCTCCTGTGTTTGCAAGATCACTATTATGATAAAGGTGAATTTGAAGTCTTTGATAAGTATATTGTGAATGCATATCTGAACACACCATATCTTCATCGATATCTAGATAAGAAGTTGTACAAGGTTAGCCCAGATGAACTCATGCTTAAACTTTATGAAAACCATCCTTTGGAAGAAAATTTTGTTAGGAAGACTTCCCTCCCTGAAGGCAAGTTTTTTTTAGTGATAAGCCAAAGGAATTTGACCTAAAGCAATATTTGGAGGGCAAAGGAATGTATGAACTTAGAGAGAAGCGATTTAAGAAGAAGAACTTCTCTGAGGATAAGGAGAATTCTAGTATGGATGAGAACGACATAGATGAACAAAAAACCATCAAATTAGCCGAAAAAGTCCCAAAAAGAGTAACTCGGAAGACTACTCAACCAGAACAACCCTCACCTCAAAAGACAGTTCCAGAACCTGAAACATCACCTAAAAATCCTAAAAACAACTGCAAATCTAAAAAACCTCCAAAACCTAAACACAATTCCAAACCTCCCAAACCCCCTAAAGACCCCAAACCACTTAAACCTCGCAAAAACCTCAAAAACCCCAAAAAATCCAAAATCAACACCCTCTTCTCCAAAATCGAAAACCAAGCCAAAAAATCCTCCAAAAAACGAAAATGCAAGCAACGTCTCAAAAAAGGCTGCTACGCTGACCTTGACTCCTTCGAGCAGCCCCCAAAATCTGCTAAAAAGAGATCAGAGGAGGCCCAAATAGAGGTCTTTGAGAAGCTATTTGAGTCCATAAACCACTAATTAATTACTAATACTCTTCAATATTTCTGAAGGTTTAAGGGGTTTTGGGGTTTTGGGGTTTTGGGGTTTTGGGG